CCAAGTAAAATTAAGGTTTTTAAATATTTACTTTCTTTAGCTACTAAGACTTGTTTGATATGAACTAAATATAACTGGTAAACAAATTTTTACACAAACAGAAAACTAATCTATTAACTTGACACATTTATTTCATAATTTTGTTAGTTAAAAAAATTCAAACATCAAACTTTATATTATAAGATAATATCCTGTCAAAATGTGTTTTCATATATATATTTATTGATTATGATTATAAAACGTTCATTTAAAGTACCTAATTAATTATATTTGGAAATACTAAATGTGAGAGTTCCTTACGACTGATTTTATCATATGATATTTAGGTTTCATATTCAATTCTTGCAAAACTGATAAGCTGCAAAAAAAATTGAAAACATTAATTGATTTGATTGTTACATAATATTGACGAGAAGATTATTTATATTTCTAAAAAATTGGTATTCTTTATTTAACTGTAGTAAGATTATTTATGTATCTGCAAAATTGGTAGTCTTTATTTAATTGTAGTAACATATTTTACAGTCAAATAAAATATTTATTAGTATACATCCATCAATGATAAAAATAATGAATCACAAGACCTGATATGTTCAATAAATAGAGCTTTTTACTTTATAATCTATACAATCTCAAAACATACATTTTAATATATTTTATAGTTGATACTACAATTGCAAGACATTATGTCCATATCAAAGACTTGCATGACTTTAGTTCTCTTAATAATTGTGGTAGCTTCTTTGTTCTCCGGTTCCGACGCCTTGGTTTCACGTATATATTTTTTTAGTGTTGTTGTTAATTTTTAATTAGAATTTTATGTGTTATATAGATAATACATATAGATACAATTATGATATTATAATGTGGTGACTTTGTGTACATGCAGCAAACAGTCCACATTTCAGCAAAAGGGTTTGTGGTTCTCAATGTACGTCAAATTACGGACCCCAAAAATGTTACCAGTATTGTGTGAATCCACCAAAAGGGTTTCTCCGATACACTTTTGGTGACTGTATTTATTCTGGTTTTGCTACACCGACTTGTTGTTGCTTCATTTGATAGGTATAGATCTTATCTTTTGTATTAATATATCTTTATTGCAATATTAATTTACATAAAGAATGAGACAATATAAATTGTAATATGAATTTATCTTTGATAAGAAATGCTTTTTCCAATACAAATACTAAGATAATAAAATAATTTTTTTAACAATGGATCTGAGGGAGCTAGTACAAGTTTCCGTCTAATTAAATAAAGAAAAAAAATTATTATTTTAATTTTATTATTTTGTGTGAACAATAAAAATACGTGCATTATGCAAGGAGAGATCAAAATAGTTTAATCAAATTTATATTAGTGTTATCCTCCACAAAACGTATATTAAAATATACTTCAAATATTAAAATTATATTGAATTGTTTAATATTTGCAAATATTCAAATTATATTTATTTGTTTGATGTTATCTTTCGACTACTAATTAAGGAAATTATAGGAAAGAGAATAAATAAAAAATGACGATTTGAGGAATAAGTCTTTATCTCAACACTCTTTTCTCCATCTTTAGCCAAATTTTCTACACACAATCAATAATTCTTCAATAAATTTAGTCTATTTTGATCGAAACCATGATCATCTACCAAAGAAGTTAGTAAAAATCAAAACCTGACTAAATAAGTTATCTTTTAGAATATGGTGATGCACGTGAAAATGGTTAAAATTAATATTTTAGCTCTATATATATCATTAAAATGCATTTTGTTCTATCATTTATCTAGAAATATTTACAGAATTAAGCATATTTGTGTAGGAGCAACTTAAGTATTAGTGATATATCACTAATTGATTTTTAATTTTGTATAAATGAGGATAAAAGATGACTAATAACACTTGATAATATGTATTATTAGTATAACAAGTTTCTCGTAATAGCGTGCTGCTTATCAGAGAAAACCGTTCTAAAAGCCGTGAAAGAGTGTTGGATTCATAGAATGTAGTCGAAAAATTTCTCAAACAACGATGCATTTATTGGTAAATCAACATAATTATTTATCTATTGCTAAAAATAATATTAAAAAGTTATAGAATTAGAGACAGATATAGCAAGAATAACTTATATATGTCGATATATATATATATATATATATATATATATATATTCAAATTTAATAAATTTACTTTATATAGTGACATCATTCTAAACATTGTTTTTAATTTTATAATTAGTAGAAGAAATCATATTTTTACATATTTATTCATTTTTAGTTTGAATGGATTTATTAGATATAACTAACTAATTTTTTACATCAATCAAATTGCAAAACATATAGTACTTATCAATTAGTTCATTACATGATAGTATTTTTAATATATACAAAATATATATTAAATAAAAAGTTAAATTGGATCGCCTCTGTACTAAAGCATATTATATTTCTTTTTGTCATAAATTGATTATTTAGTTTAAGATTTTTTACAATTTGAATAACTTGAAAACAATTCACTATAATTTTGTTTTTAACACACCAATTTAAATTGCAAACTTTTCAGTATCCATTTAGTGGTAACAATAAATAAATAAAATTGAAAACATATTGCATGACATAATATTTTAAGTTTTCTTTTGTGGTAAAATACAATTAGAAAGTTTACATTTTAAATTTTCATTTTTTCAGATTTTAACTTAAAATATAAACTTTACATTATCAATTCTTTATTGGTTTCATTTTTTAGTTTTATTGACGGAACCAAGTAAAATTAAAATTTTATATACTTACTTTCTTTAGCTGATAAGACTTGTTTGATATGAACTAAATATAATTGGTAAACAAATTTTTACACATACAGAAAACTAATCTTATAACTTGACATGTTTATTTCATAATTTTTTTTAGTTACAAAAATTCAAACATTAAAATTTTTTTTATAAGATAATTTCTTGTCAAAATGTGTTTTTCATATATATTTATTGATTATAATTATAAAACATTCATTTAAAGTAGATAATTAATTATTATTGGAAATACTAAATGTAAGAGTTTCTTAATTTAATTGTTACATAATATTGACGAGAAGATTATTTATATTTCTACAAAATTGGTAGTCTTTATATAACTGTAGTAAGATTATTTATAAATCTGCAAAATTAGTAGTCTTTATTTAATTGTAGTAACATATTTTTCAGTCAACAAAATATTTATTTTTATACATCCTTCAATGATAAAAACAATGAATCACAAGACTTGATACGTTCAATAAATAGAGCTTTTTACTTTCTAATCTATACAATTTCAAAACATATATATTTTTTAATAGATTTCATAGTTTGATACTACAATTGCAAGACATTATGTCCATATCAAAGACTTGCATGAGCTTAGTTTTCTTAATAATACTGGTAGCTTCTTTGTTCTTCGGTTCCGACGCCTTGGTTTCAGGCATATGTTTTTTTAGTGTTGTTGTTAGTTTTTAATTAGAATTTTATGTGTATATAGATAATACATATAGATACAATTATGATATTATAATGTGGTGACTTTGTATACATGCAGCAAACAGTCCACATTTCAGCAAAATGGTTTGTGGTTCTCAATGTACGTCAAATTACAGACCCCAAAAATGTTACCAGGATTGTGTGAATCCACCAAAAGGGTTTCTCCGGTACACTTTTGGTGACTGTATTTATTCTGGTTTTGCTACACCGACTTGTTGTTGCTTCATTTGATAGGTATAGATCTTGTCTTTTGTATTGATTTATCTTTATTGCAATAATATTTTACATAACGGAAGAGGCAATATAAATTGTAATATGAATTTATCTTTGTTGAACAATGCATTTTCCAATACAAATATTAAGATAATAAAATATTTTTTTTAACATTGGATCTGAGGGAGTTTGTACAAGTTTCAATCTAATTAAAAAAAGAAGAATAATTTATGATTTTAATTTTATTATTTTGTTTGAACAATAAAAATACGTGCATTATGCAATGAGAGATCAAAATAGTTTAATCAAATTTATATTAGTGTTATCCTCAAGAAAACGTATATTAAAATATACCTCAAATATTAAAATTATATTGAATTGTTTAATATTTGCAAATATTCAAATTATATTTATTTGTTTGATGTTATCTTTCGACTACTAATTTAGGAAATTATAGGAAAGAGAATAATGAAAAATGACGATTTGAGGAATAAATCTTTACCTCAACACTCTTTTCTCCATCTTTAGCCAAATTTTCTACACACAATCAATAATTCTTCAATAAATTTAGTCTCTTTTGATCTAAACCATGATCATCTTCCAAAGAAGTTAGTAAAAATCAAAATCTGACTAAATAAATTATTTTTTAGAATATGGTGATGCACGTGAAAATGGTTAAAATTATTGTTTTAGCTATATTTATCATTAAAATGTCTTTTGTTCTATCATTTACCTAGAAATATTTACAGAATTAAGCATATTTGTGTAGGAGCAACTTAAGTATTAGTGATATATCACTAATTGATTTCTAGTTTTGTATAAATGAGGATAAAAGATGACTAATATCACTTGATAATATGTATTATTAGTATAACAAGTTTCTCGTAATAGCGTGCTGCTTATTAGAGAAACCCGTTCTAAAAGCCGTGAAAGAATGTTGGATTCATAGAATGTAGTCGATAAATTTCTCAAACAGGGATGCATTTATTGGTAAATCAACATAATTATTTATTTATTGCTAAAAGTACTATTAAAAACTGCTAGAATTAGAGACAGATATAGCAAGAACAAGATATAAGTTGATATATATATATATTTAAATTTCAGAAATTTATTTTATATAGTGACGTCATTCTAAACAATGTTTTTAATTATATAATTAGTGGAAGAAATCATATTTTTACACATTTATTAATTTTTAGTTTGAATGGATTTATTAGATATAACTAACTAATTGTTTACGTCAACCAAATTGCAAAACATATACTACTTATCAATTGGTTCATTATATGATAGTATTTTTTATATATATTGAATAAAAAAATAAATTGGTTCACCTCTGTACTAAAGCAGATCATATTTCTTTTAGTCATAAATTGATTATTTATTTAACGATTTTTTATAATTTGAATAACTTGAAAAAATTCATTATAATTTTGTTTTCAAAACAGAAATTTAAATTGAAAACTTTTCAGTATCCATTTAATGGTAAATATAAATAAATAAAAGTGAAAACATAATTCATGACATAATATTTTAAGTTTTCTTTTGTTGTGAAAAATACAAATAGAAAGTTTACATTTTAAATTTTCATTTTTTTCAGATTTTAACTCAAATAGAAACTTTATATTCTCAATTCTTTATTGGTTTCATTTTTATTGACTGAACCAAGTAAAATTAATATTTTTTATATTTACTTTTTTTAGCTGATAAGACTTGTTTGATATGAACTAAATATAATTGGTGAACAAATTTTTACACATACAAAAAACTAATCTTATAACTTGACATGTTTATTTCATAATTTTGTTAGTTACAAAAATTCAAACATTAAACTTTATATTATAAGATAATTTCCTGTCAAAATGTGTTTTTCATATATGTTTATTAATTATAATTATAAAACGTTCATTTATAGTAGCTAATTAATTATTATTGGAAATACTAAATGTAAGAGTTCCTTACAACTGGTTTAATCATATGATATTTAGGTTTCATTTTCAATTATTGCAAAACTGATAAGCTGCAAACAAAACTGAAAAAATTAATTAATTTAATTGTTACATAATAATGACGAGAAGATTATTTATATTTCTACAAAATTGTTAGTCTTTATATAACTGTAGTAAGATTATTTATAAATCTGAAAAATTAGTAGTCTTTATTTAATTGTAGTAACATATTTTTCAGTCAACAAAATATTTATTTGTATACATCCATCAATGATAAAAACAATGAATCACAAGACCTGATATGTTCAATAAATAGAGCTTTTTACTTTCTAATCTATACAATTTCAAAACATATATATTTTTTAATAGATTTCATAGTTTGATACTACAATTGCAAGACATTATGTCCATATCAAAGACTTGCATGAGCTTAGTCCTCTTAATAATACTGGTAGCTTCTTTGTTCTTCGGTTCCGACACCTTGATTTCAGGTATATGTTTTTTTTAGTATTGTTGTTAATTTTTACTAGTGACGTCATTCTAAACAATGTTTTTCATTATATAATTAGTGGAAGAAATCATATTTTTACATATTTAGTCATTTTTAGTTTGAATGGATTTATTAGATATAGCTAACTAATTGTTTACATCAACCAAATTCCAAAACATATACTACTTATCAATTGGTTCATTATATGATAGTATTTTTTATATTTTTTAATATTTTTTATATTTACTTTCTTTAGCTGATAAGACTTGTTTGATATGAACTAAATATTATTGGTAAACAAATTTTTACACATACACAAAACTAATCTATTAACTTGACATGTTTATTTCATAATTTTGTTAGTTACAAAAATTCAAACATTAAACTTTATATTATAAGATAATTTCCAGTCAAAATGTGTTTTTCATATATATTTATTGATTATGATTATAAAACGTTCATTTAAAGTAGCTAATTAATTATCTCTGAAAATACTAAATGTAAGAGTTCCTTACGACTGATATAATCATATGATATTTAGGTTTCATTTACAATTCTTGCAAACCTGATAAGCTGCAAACAAAACTGAAAATTTTAATTAATTTGATTGTTACATAATATTAACTAGAAGATTATTTATATTTCTACAAAATTGGTAGTCTTTATATAATTGTAGTGAGATTATTTATATATCTGCAAAATTGGTAGTCTTTATTTAATTGTAGTAACATATTTTTCAGTCAACAAAATATTTATTTGTATACATCCATCAATGATAAAAACAATGAATCACAAGACCTGATATGTTCAACAAATAGAGCTTTTTACTTTCTGATCTATACAATTTCAAAACATTTATATATTTTAACAGATTTCATAGTTTGATACTACAATTGCAAGACATTATGTCCATATCAAAGACATGCATGAGCTTAGTTCTCTTAATAATACTGGTAGCTTCTTTGTTCTTCGGTTTCGACGCCTTGCCTTCAGGTATATGTTTATTTAGTGTAGTTGTTAATTTTTAATTAGAATTTTATGTGTATATAGATAATACATAGATACAATTATGATCTTATAATGTGGTGACTTTGTGTACATGCAGCAAACAGTCCACATTTCAGCAAAAGGGTTTGTGGTTCTCAATGTACATCAAATTACGGACCCCAAAAATGTTACCAGGATTGTGTGAATCCACCAAAAGGGTTTCTCCGATACACTTTTGGTGACTGTATTTATTCTGGTTTTGCTACACCGACTTGTTGTTGCTTCATTTGATAGGCATAGATCTTGTCTTTTGTATTGATATATCTTTATTGCAATAATATTTTATATAACGGAAGAGGCAATATAAATTGTAATATAAATTTATCTTTGTTAAACAATGCATTTTCCAATACAAATACTAAGATAATAAAATAATTTTTTTTAACATTGGATCTGAGGGAGTTAGTACAAGTTTCAATCTAATTAAAAAAAGAAAAAAAATTTATGACTTTAATTTTATTATTTTTTGTGAACAATAAAAATACATGCATTATGCAATGGGAGATCAAAATAGTTTAACCAAAATTATATTACTGTTATCCTCCAGAAAACGTATATTAAAATATACTTCAAATATTCAAATTATATTGAATTGTTTAATATTTGCAAATATTCAAATTATATTTATTTGTTTGATTTTATCTTTCGACTACTAATTTACGAAATTACAGGAAAGAGAATAATGAAAAATGACGATTTGATGAATAAGTCTTTACCTCAATACTCTTTTCTCCATCTTTAGCCAAATTTTCTACACACAGTAAATAATCCTTCAATAAATTTAGTCTCTTTTGATATAAACCATGATCATCTACCAAAGAAGTTAGTAAAAATTAAAACCTGACCAAATAAATTATTTTTTAGAATATGGTGATGCACGTGAAAATGGTTAAAATTATTTTTGTACCTATATATATCATTAAAATGCCTTTTGTTCTATCATTTATCTAGAAATATTTACAGAATTAAGCATATTTGTGTAGGAGCAACTTAAGTATTAGTGATATATCACTAATTGATTTCTAGTTTTGTATAAATGAGGACAAAAGATGACTAATATCACTTGATAATATGTATTATTAGTATAACAAGTTTCTCGTAATAGCGTGCTGCTTATTAGAGAAACCCGTTCTGAAAAGCCGTGAAAGAGTGTTTGATTCATAGAATGTAGTGGATAAATTTCTCAAACAGCGATGCATTTATTGGTAAATCAACATAATTATTTATTTATTGCTAAAAATACTATTAAAAAGTACTAGAATTAGAGACAGATATAGCAAGAACAAGATATATGTTAATATATATATATATATTCAAATTTTATAAATTTATTTTAAATAGTGACATCATTCTAAACAATGTTTTTAATTATATAATTAGTGGAAGAAATCATTTTTTTACATATTTATTCATTTTTAGTTTGAATGGATTTATTAGATATAGCTAACTAATTGTTTACATCAACCAAATTGCAAAACATATACTACTTATCAATTGGTTCATTATATGATAGTATTTTTTATATATACAAAATATATATTGAATAAAAAGTTAATTTGGATCACCTCTGTACAAAAGCATATCATATTTTTTTTAGTCATAAATTGATTATTTAGTTTAAGATTTTTTACAATTTGAAGAACTTGAAGAAAATTCATTATAATTTTGTTTTCAACACACCAATTTAAATTGAAAACTTTTCAGTATCCATTTAATGGTAAATATAAATAAATAAAATTGAAAACATAATTCATGACATAATATTTTAAGTTTTCTTTTGTTGTGAAAAATACAAATAGAAAGTTTACATTTTAAATTTTCATTTTTTTCAGATTTTAACTCAAAATAGGAACTTTACATTCTCAATGCTTTAATTGTTTCATTTTTATTGACTGAATCAAGTAAAATTAATCTTTTTTATATTTACTTTCTTTAGCTGATAAGACTTGTTTGATATGAACTAAATATTATTGGTAAACAAATTTCTAGACATACAAAAAACTAATCTATTAACTTAACATGTTTATTTCATAATTTTGTTAGTTACAAAAATTCAAACATTTAACTTTATATTATAAGATAATTTCCTGTCAAAATATGTTTTTCATATATATATTTATTGATTATGATTATAAAACGTTCATTTAAAGTAGCTAATTAATTATCTTTGAAAATATTAAATGTAAGAGTTCCTTACGACTGATTTAGTCATATGCTATTTCGGTTTCATTTTCAATTCTTTCAAAACTGATAAGCTGCAAACAAAACTGAAAAATTTAATTAATTTGATTGTTACATAATATTAACTAGAAGATTATTTATATTTCTACAAAATTGGTAGTCTTTATATAACTGTAGTAAAATTATTTATATATCTGCAAAATTGGTAGTCTTTATTTAATTGTAGAAACATATTTTTCAGTCAACAAAATATTTATTTGTATACATCCATCAATGATAAAAACAATGAATCACAAGACCTGATATGTTCAACAAATATAGCTTTTTACTTTCTGATCTATACAATTTCAAAACATTTATATATTTTAACAGATTTCATAGTTTGATACTACAATTGCAAGACATTATGTCCATATCAAAGACTTGCATGAGCTTAGTTCTCTTAATAATAGTGGTAGCCTCTTTGTTTTTCGGTTCTGACGCCTTGCCTTCAGGTATATGTTTATTTAGTGTTGTCGATAATTTTTAATTATAATTTTATGTGTATATAGATAATACATATAGATACAATTATGATATTATAATGTGGTTACTATGTGTACATGCAGCAAACAGTCCACATTTCAGCAAAAGGGTTTGTGGTTCTCAATGTACGTCAAATTACGGACCCCAAAAATGTTACCAGGATTGTGTGAATCCACCAAAAGGGTTTCTCCGATACACTTTTGGTGACTGTATTTATTCTGGTTTTGCTACACCGACTTGTTGTTGCTTCATTTGATAGGCATAGATCTTGTCTTTTGTATTGATATATCTTTATTGCAATAATATTTTACATAACGGAAGAGGCAATATAAATTGTAATATGAATTTATCTTTGTTAAACAATGCATTTTCCAATACAAATACTAAGATAATAAAATAATTTTTTTTAACATTGGATCTGAGGGAGTTAGTACAAGTTTCAATCTAATTAAAAAAAGAAGAAAAATTTATGACTTTAATTTTATTATTTTGTGTGAACAATAAAAATACATGCATTATGCAATGGGAGATCAAAATAGTTTAACCAAAATTATATTACTGTTATCCTCCAGAAAACGTATATTAAAATATACTTCAAATATTCAAATTATATTGAATTGTTTAATATTTGCAAATATTCAAATTATATTTATTTGTTTGATTTTATCTTTCGACTACTAATTTACGAAATTACAGGAAAGAGAATAATGAAAAATGACGATTTGAGGAATAAGTCTTTACCTCAATACTCTTTTCTCCATCTTTAGCCAAATTTTCTACACACAGTAAATAATCCTTCAATAAATTTAGTCTCTTTTGATATAAACCATGATCATCTACCAAAGAAGTTAGTAAAAATTAAAACCTGACCAAATAAATTATTTTTAATATATATATATATATATATATATATTCAAATTTAATAAATTTATTTTAAATAGTGACATCATTCTAAACAATGTATAATTATATAATTAGTGGAAGAAATCATTTTTTTACATATTTATTCATTTTTAGTTTTAATAGATTTATTAGATATAGCTAACTAATTGTTTACATCAACCAAATTGCAAAACATATACTACTTATCAATTGGTTCATTATATGATAGTATTTTTTATATATACAAAATATATATTGAATAAAAAATTAATTTGGATCACCTCTGTACAAAAGCAGATCATATTTCTTTTAGTCATAAATTGATTATTTAGTTTAAGATTTTTTACAATTTGAATAACTTGAAAAAAATTCATTATAATTTTGTTTTCAACACACCAATTTAAATTGAAAACTTTTCAGTATCCATTTAATGGTAAATATAAATAAATAAAATTGAAAACATAATTCATGACATAATATTTTAAGTTTTCATTTGTTATGAAAAATACAAATAGAAAGTTTACATTTTAAATTTTCATTTTTTTTCAGATTTTAACTCAAAATAGGAACTTTACATTCTCAATGCTTTAATTGTTTCATTTTTATTGACTGAATCAAGTAAAATTAATCTTTTTTATTTTTACTTTTTTTAGCTGATAAGACTTGTTTGATATGAACTAAATATTATTGGTAAACAAATTTTTAGACATACAAAAAACTAATCTATTAACTTAACATGTTTATTTCATAATTTTGTTAGTTACAAAAATTCAAACATTAAACTTTATATTATAAGATAATTTCCTGTCAAAATATGTTTTACATATATATTTATTGATTATGATTATAAAACGTTCATTTAAAGTAGCAAATTAATTATCTTTGAAAATACTAAATGTAAGAGTTCCTTACGACTGATTTAATCATATGCTATTTCGGTTTCATTTTCAATTCTTTCAAAACTGATAAGCTGCAAACAAAACTGAAAAGTTTAATTAATTTGATTGTTGCATAATATTAACTAGAAGATTATTTATATTTCTACAAAATTGGTAGTCTTTATATAACTGTAGTAAAATTATTTATATATCTGCGAAATTGGTAGTCTTTATTTAATTGTAGAAACATATTTTTCAGTCAACAAAATATTTATTTGTATACATCCATCAATGATAAAAAAACAATGAATCACAAGACCTGATATGTTCAACAAATATAGCTTTTTACTTTCTGATCTATACAATTTCAAAACATTTATATATTTTAACAGATTTCATAGTTTGATACTACAATTGCAAGACATTATGTCCATATCAAAGACTTGCATGAGCTTAGTTCTCTTAATAATAGTGGTAGCCTCTTTGTTTTTCGGTTCTGACGCCTTGCCTTCAGGTATATGTTTATTTAGTGTTGTCGTTAATTTTTAATTATAATTTTATGTGTATATAGATAATACATATAGATACAATTATGATATTATAATGTGGTTACTTTGTGTACATGCAGCAAACAGTCCACATTTCAGCAAAAGGGTTTGTGGTTCTCAATGTACGTCAAATTACGGACCCCAAAAATGTTACCAGGATTGTGTGAATCCACCAAAAGGGTTTCTCCGATACACTTTTGGTGACTGTATTTATTCT